TCCCATTTATCAGAAAGTTTTCTTTTTCCTCTTTGTCCCTTGTTTGCAATGAGTACTGTGTCTCCAATGTTAACATGTGTGCCCTTGACCCTTTTATTGTAACCCTAAGCTTGTTCATGTTGTTCTTTGGGAGCATGTTTCTGTGCAATGTCAGCTGCTTCATGAAGATACGAAATGAGTGTTTTCACATAACTGCCATGGTCAACAACCGTGCAGCACCTCTTTGAACATTACACTGACTGGGAGTCTTGGGACATGACCAAACATCAGCTGAGACGGGACATTGTCGCATCATTTGTGAATGTCATCATCTGAATCTGTTCAGGCCACTTATGCTTCTCCTGAAGAGGGTCTGATTGGAGCATATTACCTAGCATGAGGTTGAACCTCTCAGTTCACCCATTCCCCATGGGGTGATAAGCTGTAGTGTGTAACTTGGAGACCCTAGTTTTAAGAGCTCTTCTAAAACTGCACTCTCAAGGCTAGCTTCCTGATAAGATTTCCAGATACCTAAAGACACAAAAGATATAATCCCTTAACTTCCTGGCAACTTTTTTTTTTTTTGCAGTTTGGTTTACACATGGAAAAGCGTGAGATAACTTTGTAAAGTGGTCTGTTATTACGCGCACATTATGTTGCTCCCTATTGTTGGCACTCCAGAAATCTAAACAGAGTAACTCCATGTGGTTGAAATCCTGATGTTTTATAATGGGCCCCTGGTAGATAATTCAGGTGTCTTCACCCAAATACGCCGCTAACAATGCTTTGCATACTCCCTGGAAAAATATTTTTAGGCCAGAAGAAGCATTGTCTTACAAGGTGAAGTGTCCTCACCTGTCCCTGGTGACCGGCGAGGTCAGGCACCCCATGCAGGGCCTTTTCTTGGAGACTCAGAGGAATTATGAACTGATGTCTCTTCTTTCTAGTTAAGGGATCTTTTATAACTCTGTAGAGCACATCATCTTGGACCTTAAGTCTGTCCCACTGCTTGAGAAGTATCATGGCCCTCAAGTCCATTCTATCCCTCTCTCGCCTTGAAGGTCATCTTTTCTGATTGGCTGGGTTGGAGCTCCTCTAAGGTAATAATTGAGTACTTGTCACTATTCGCAAGCATCTAACTTGTGCTTGGTCATTATATATGTCAGTGGATTAGGCCACACTGTAAACAAATGACCCTTTAACCAATGACTAAACTTCTCGCATCCACTCTTCTCTTCCCCAGCCACCACTTGTGATAAGATAGCTCCAAGGCCATCCAAGGAAGCATCAATTATCAAAATTAATGGGCATGAAAAATCTAGTTGTGCAAAAACCACTCTGTGCAGAAGGTTATCTTTTAGATTGGAAAGGCCAGCATCGCCGTCAGAAGTCCATTTGGTAGGTTTTAGCTTGCAAAATGTTCCTGCCTTCACATCTGCTTTGGCCTTGCCTTTGGCCAGTGAGCAAAAAAAGTGGTCTTGCTATGGCAGAACCATTAGGGATAAAATGGACTGGCTCCTTCATATATCTCCGATCTCCTTCTGTTCCACTGTAATGCCTCCAGGGAACTTCGATCAACTAGTAGTCTTCAGTTGATTGTTCCAAGGACACTCTTGAAATCAAAAGGAGATCATGCCTTTTCAGTGGCCGCTCCACAGCTCTGGAATAATTTGCCACCCTATATAAGAACTGCACCAACATGTGCTGATTTTAAGTCTCTTCTTAAAACTTATTTATTTACTGTTGCATATGGTCATAAGTAAGTGCTGTGGCATAACCGTAGTGTACTATTTGTTGCTATGTTCTATGTTTACTTTTGTATTTTTGGTATATGCTTATATTTTGTACAGCACTTTGGCCAACAGCTGTTGTTTTTAAATGTGCTTTATAAATAAATATGACTGACTGACTGACTGACTGAAATGTTAGTACTAGAATACCGAAGGTGTGTACCCATCTTCTTCCATCAGATCAGTCCTTGACATCCTTGTAATAACCTTGACCTTTGCTGGATCCAATGAGACTCCATTACCATCTTTGAGATGGCCAAGAAATCTAACTGATGCCTGCATCAGTTGACATTTTTTTGGAATCACCTTGAAGTTGTGAAGCCGTAAATGCTGGAATACAACCTTGCATCTTTTTTAGTGCTTCTTCCTCACTTGGGGCCAACACAAGCAAATCAAGATACCACAACAAGCTACTAAATTTAAGATCACCAAAATGCTTAGCATCACGCACATAAATGAATCTGGACTGTTAGACTACCCTTGTGGCATCCTAGTATGTTCATGAAGTCCAAGAGGAGTTGTAATTGTGCTGTACATTTGTCTTCTTCAGCCTTGGGGATGTTGTAGAAACCTGACGTAAGGTTCATGGTACTGAAGAAGGCATTTTCATCTAGAGTTGCCAAACAGTCTCCCTGATGTGAGAGTGGATGCGCATCTTTGATGATTCTGGCATTTAACCATCTAAAATCTGATGTTTAGATTCTCAGACTGCCATCTTTCTTCCACACTAAGACTAGAGGGGAAGTTCTAATTATCCTTTGTTCTTCTAATTATCCCAATTAAGCAAACTCAGCTTGGCTCACCCATTGAAAGAGCACAAAGTCCTTCACAGCCAAATATGGTGGCACATTAGCCAAATTACTTTTCCTTATCAACATGATGGGCTGGTCATAGTGGTGACCTTCATGGGGATCCAATCCCTTCATGGGGATCCAGTCAACACCCCATAATGGCATAACAATGCGTCCAACCATAATGCAGCCTGGCATCATCTTGCAGGTTGTGGGTTCAAGGAGGCCATCATTAGGCTGAAAAAACAACATAAATCTATAAGACAGATAGCAAAAACCTTAGGTGTTGTCATATCTACAGTTGGGTACATTCTTAAAAAGAAAGAAAGCACTGATGAGCTCAACAACATAGAAAGGCCTGGAAGACCACGGAAGACAACTAAAGTGGATGATCGCAGAATCCTTTCCTTGGTGAAGAAAAACCCCCTCACGACATCAACAGAAGTCAAGAATACTCTGGAAAAAGTTGTTTTATCATTGTCAAAATCTACAATCAAGAGACTGTATTTACATTCAGTTTACAACAAGATGCAAACCACTGGTAAAATTCAAGAACAGGAATGCCAGATTAGACTTTGCCAGAAAACATCTAAAAAAGCCTTCCATGTTCTAGAATAAGATTCTTTGGACTAATCTTGGATGAAACCAAGATTAACTTGTACCGGAATGATGGGAAGAGAAAAATATGGTGAAAGAAAGGAACAGCTCATGATCCAAACTATACCATATCATGTGTCAAACATGGCGGAGTTATGGCATGGGCATGTATGGCTGCCAATGGAACGGGCTCACTGGTGTTTACTGATGATGTGACTGCTGACAGAAGTAGCAAGATGAATTCTGATGTGTATAGGGCTATACTCTCTGCTCACATTCAGCCAAATGCTACAAAACTGATAGTGCAGCTGGATAATGAGCCTAAACATACTGTGAAAGCAACTCAAGAATTTTGAAGGCAGAAAGACCCACAAACAAGCAGCAACTGAAGGTGGCCTGGCAAAGCATCTCCAGGTAGGAAAATCAGAATTTGAGTTTTGAGAACATGGGCTCCAGACTTCATGCAGTCATTGACTGCAAAGGATTTTCATCCAAGTATTAAAATTATGGTTATATTTACAATTATGTCACTTTTGTCCAATATCTTTGAGCCCCTGAAAATGAAGATACGTTGTTCCAAATGGCTGTAATTCCTAAATGGTAAATGCTTTTTTTTTTCTATTTTTATGGAACCTCTTAAAATAAAGCTAAAAGTCTTCATTTCGATCACATCTTGATTGGTTTATTTCAAATCCATAGTGGTGGTTTCATCAGTCCAAAGAATCTTATTCCAGAACATGGGAGGCTTTTTTAGATGTTTTCTGGCAAAGTCTAATCTGGATTTCCTGTTCTTGAATGTTACCAGTGGTTTGCACCTTGTTGTAAACCCTCTGTATTTACATTCATGAAGGTAGATTGTAGATTTTGACAGTGATATGCCTACATTCTCCAGAGTATTCTTGACTTCTGTTGATGTTGTGAAGGGGTTTTTCTTCACCAAGGAAAGGATTCTGCGATCATCCACTTTAGTTGTCTTCTGTGGTCTTTCAGGCCTTTCGATGTTGTTAAGCTCACCAGTACTTTCTTTCTTTTAAAGATTGTACCCAGTTGTGGATTTGGCCACACCTAAGGCTTTTGCTATTTCTCTTTTAGATTTATGTTGTTTTTTTCAGCCTAACGATGGCCTTCTTCACTTGCATTGAAATCTCCTTGGACTTCATATTGGTAGCTCCAGTCGAACAGCTGCCAAATACCAACTCAATACCTGATATCAACTCCAGACCTTTTATCTGCTTCATTGTCTTGAAGTAACGAGAGAACGGACCGCAACTGGTCAATTAACTTCTTGTCAGTCAATTGTCCAAATACCTTTGAGCCCCTGAAAATGGAAGTACTTTGCTTAAAATGGCTGTAATTCCTAAATGGTAAATGTCATACTTTTGTGGAACCTCTTAAAATAAAGCTGAAAGTCTACACTTCGAGCACATCTTGATTGTTTTATTTCAAATCCATTGTGGTGGTGTATAAAGGCAACATCACAACAACTCTGTCATTGTCCAAATACTTAAGGAGAATAAATAAATAAATAAATAAATAAATAAATAAATAAATAAATATATATATATATATATATATATATATATATATATATTCTATCTTTTGTCTTTTATTTTCTACAAGACATTTTTGACATTTTTTTAGTTGTTAGTTGTTTTTGTAGTTGTTGTTCTTTTGGCTGCGCCCGTTAAGGGTCGCCACAGTGGATCATCGGTCCGCATATTTGATTTGGCACAATTTTTTACTCCGGTCGCCCTTCCTCATGCAAACCTCACCAGTTTTATCCGGGACTGGGACCAGCACTGGGAGTGCACTGTCGCGTGCAACACCCAGTGGCGGATGTTGGTTCCCTGGCCAGGAATCAAACCTAGCCGGCAGAGGTGAGAGCGCTATGGCCTAACCACTAGTCCTCCAAGTAGCTCCAGTTGCTCTAATAGTCCATAAAAATATAACTTTTTATAATGTATTGCTAAAAAGGTCCTTAACAACCTCCGAACAGAGAGGGGAGTGGTAGGTTAAAAATAGTAAGAAATAGGATTTAAAAGCATACAGCATAAGATTAATTAACTAATGCAAATAATGTATAGATCAGTATTCATTGTGTAAAAGTTCTGACATCATTTTCAAGAAACGAAAAGGAATGAACAGAAATTGATTTATATTAGTCCATGTCTTGTAATATTGCAATGTTATAATGAGATTTCACATTTTTCACTGTTTGTTTTAGATGGCACTAATATACGACTTGGTGGTGGTCGTCAGTCCTGCTCTGGTAGATTAGAAATCTATTATAATAACCGGTGGGGAACAGTGTGTGATGACAATTGGGACATGAATGATGCGCAGGTGGTGTGTAGGCAGCTTGGATGTGGTAATGCTGTCAGCGCACCGCAAAGTGCCCACTTTGGTCAGGGAAGTGGCCCAATATGGCTGGACGATGTTCAATGTTCTGGAAGTGAAAGTGCCATCACACGGTGTTCTCATAATGGATTTGGACAACACAACTGTGGCCATGGTGAAGATGCTGGTGTTACTTGCTCAGGTACAGAAAACTCTTATATTATGTCCTTGTCATGAATGTGATTATATTAATATTGCACTGATTAACTTTTATTGGTCAGTAAAAAAAATACACAGGTGTAGCACAATTATTTATCTGGCTGTCAATTTGGCAGCTAGGTAAATAATATAGTGTGCACTGGATTATTAAAACTACTTGAGTAGTTTTTGTTTGTGGTTAGAGAAGAAGCCACAAGAAGACAATTTCTTGTTCACCTTCAATTTTTAACCTATTAAATCAGGCCGTAATGAGATCAGGCTGGTGAATGGTCCAAGTAACTGTTGTGGTCGAGTGGAGATCCAGCACAATGGCCGTTGGGGAACAGTGTGTGATGATTACTGGGACTTAAAGGATGCAGAGGTGGTGTGTAGACAGCTTAGATGTGGTAAAGCCATCAGCGCTCCTCATAATGCCCGCTTTGGTGAGGGAAGTGAACCAACCTGGCTGGATGATGTTCAGTGTACTGGAACTGAGAGCTACATAGATCAGTGCTCACACAGCGGATTTGGAGTAGAGAACTGTGGACATGGTGAAGATGCTGGAGTCGTGTGCTCAAGTAAATTATTATTGTTTTTTTGTAGCAATACTCTGTTTAAAGTGAATATATTTCCAAAATTATTCAATATATTTCTTTATTATAAGACCTGCAGACTCCCACATTGACTCGGATCTCTCCAAACTCTGTGGTCTCACCTGGAGAAGTCCTTCAGTTCAGATGTACCACACCCAGCCCAACATGCATCTCTGTAGACTTCAGTTTATATAAAACTGGGACATCAATAATGACACAATCTGCAGAGTCTACAACAACATTTAATCTGACTGTAGATGCCTCACATCAGGGCCAGTACACCTGTGACTATTCATACAGGAAAAGTAACTCCACATCATCCAGGAGCAACTCCATTACCATCACTGTGGGTAAGTGCAGAGAGGATGTTATACTGAACAGCATTCAATAGTCATTAATTAATTACTACATGCTGTTCAAATTGTTGGCATTCATTATCCATAAGTTATATATAATTTAAATAGTATTAACAAGACTAATACAGAAATACGGTAGAGATGCCTGGTCAAGATATTGAATAGGATAGCTAAAATATTCCACTATCTATCAGTAACTTTCCGTTATGCTTAGGTAAATAATAAAACACTCTGTGTCATGCTGTTGATCTTCCTCTAACAGCATGTCCCTAAGGGTTTTATTCTTTTGAATACAACACAAATTCTACTCATTCTAGTCTTTTTGGTTTGTCCATAGACTCTGCAAATTGTATTCTCCCTTGTAGTGCTTCTCTTGTCTCAGAATCTCTCATCTCAGAAGGCTAGCTTGTCTCGTCTCAGATATTCCCGTCTCAGAATTGATTAGATTACACATGGAACCATGTACTATAAGCACTGGATTGTTCCTAATGTTCTATTTCGCCCCTCCTAACCACCCGGCCTGGTGCTAGAGCACCTACATCCCTGTGACATTTTGGCAGCTAGGTAAATAATATAGCGTTCGCTGGATTATTAAAACTACTTGAGGAGTTTGTGTTTGTAGGGTAGGAGCCACAACAAGACAACAAGGATGCAGTTAACTTGGGTTTTTCCTGATAATATTCTTGCAATACAGTCAATCAGAAGAGCCACTCACCAATGTGTTAGAAAAAGTGACAGAAGATGTAGAACTCTCCTATTTTACTGGAGCTTACAGTTGTCTGTGTGCCTTAATTTTCTCCACCTCATAGCCACGCGCACTCCAGCTATCCAAAACAATGGGGGTGCTGATCCGGTGCTGTCCTTTCAGCCTCCTGCCGGTGGTTGTGCGAGGAGCGATGAATGATTCTCATGCTTGGGCTGCCGGCCCGCCGTCACAGTGCGTTCCCTCAGCTCCGAGCCAATGGCCGGCTTGCGATGGACCCAGAGTGAGTAGCGCCGGGAAAGCCCATCTGCATTACCGTGCTGAACCCCCGCTCGATGTTGTACCATGAAGTGGTAGTCTTGAAGGGAGAGGAACCACCGCATTACCCTGGCATTGGTGTCTTTAGCCTTCGCCACCCACTGGAGCGGAGCATGGTCGGTTATCAGGGTGAAAGGTCGTCCAGCAAGGTAATATTTGAGCTCCTCTATGGCCCATTTGATGACTAGGGCCTCCCTTTCTACCGCAGCATAGTTTCTCTCTGCGGGGGTCAGCTTGCGGCTTACGAAGAGAAATGGGTGCTCCTCCCCTTCGAAGACTTTCGAAAGAACGGCCCCCAGCCCTATCTCGGAGGCGTCCGTCTGGACTAGAAAGGGGAGGCCGAAGTCGGGGTTTTGCAGTACTGGGGAGCTTGTCAGGTTTTAGTTCCTTGAATGCCTGCTCAGCCTCCTGACTCCATTGCACCCAGTCCGACTGGCCTTTCCTAGTGAAATCAGAGAGGGGGGAAGCAATCGAGGAAAAGTTAGGCAAGAAATTTTTTTTATAATAACTGGCCCACCCCAAAAAGGCACGTACCTATTTTTTAGTGGTGGGCTTTGGGTACTCATGCTCGGCCTCCACCTTTTTCTCCTGAGGCATGAGTAGGCCCCGGCCAACCTGGTATCCCAGGCACTGTGCCTCCGTCAGTCCCAGGTGGATTTCTTGGGGTTGGTGGTCAGCCCAGACTTCCGGAGCTCTCCCAGGACCTCCCTGAGGTGGTGCAGATGGTCCGCCCAGGTGGAGGAGTGTATTACCACATCATCAATATAGGCTGCTGCGAAGTTACAGTGGGGCCATATGACAATGTCCATCAGTCTCTGGAAGGTAGCTGGGGCCCCATGCAGCCCAAAGGGGAGGACCCGATATTGCCAGTGGCTGCCGGAGGTGGAGAAGGCCGTTTTGGGTTTGGCCTCTGGACTTCGGGCCAACTGCCAGGATCCCTTAGTCAGATCTAGACTGGAGATTAAGCAGGCCCTCCCCAATCGCTCCATCAGGCCATGGACCCTAGGGAGGGGGTAGCTGTCGAAGTCCGATACCTGGTTCAGCTTCCGGAAGTCGTTGCACAGCTGGATACTCCCATCGGGTTTAGGCACCACCATGATGGGGCTGGTGGATTCTTCAATAACCCCATCCCAGAGTATCCGGCTGACCTCTTCCTTGATTGTCCGTTGCCGGACCACGACTCCTGGCAGTGTTTTGATGTCATGGTGGACCAGATGGGTAAGACCTGGGTTGGAGGAGAAGACATCTGCAAACTGGTCCACCAACTCAGCCAATTCTTGGCTTTGGGCCGGTGTGAGTTACTCCTTTCGGTGGACCAAGGTACGTTCTGGTAGATCTGTGGGGAGGCTAGCAAACACAGCCACAGCAGGAGCAGGCTCAACCCATTTCATAAGTGGATTGATATGATAAATCTGCATGTCTGTGTGCCTCCCGGTTTTGAATTTTTTTAATACTCCCCATCTAACTGGTCGAGGAGGAGGACTGGTGACGATTTTTAAAAATACGCTGCAATGCAAATTGTTATCCTCATCAAATTTTACTAGTTTTGAGGCACAGTTAATCCATTTGGACTCTTTTAGACCTGTTTTGATCATTTTAATTTATCGACCACCAGCAACCAATAGCAAATTTATTGATGAACTTGCTGATTTTTTGGGTGAAATTTTGACTAAATATGATTATATTTTAATGCAGGGTGATTTTAACATCCATGTCTGCTGTGCTGCTAATGCCTTGGCTAAGGACCTTTTAAATCTTATGTCCTCTCTGAACTTTGTGCAATGGGTAAAGGGCCCCACTCACTGCCTTGGTCATATATTAGATTTGGTCTTGACCTATGGTCTGTCTATCGCTGATATTGAGACATGTAATACCCCTCTTTATGATCATATACCTGTATTGTTCACAGCTTTGTTGCCTTCTCCACCATCTACTACATCAATTCAGGAGTCTGGTCGCGTTTTTTAACTGCACAGTCCAGTAATGATTTCTCTGATATGTACCTGGAGGCTCACCAACCTCTTACTTTAGATCCTGTTATTTCTAACATGAATGTTGAGAATCAGGTGCATTTTTTAAATAACAGGTGTTCTAATATTTTAGACCGTATTGCACCATGCAAGCTTATTAATTTAAAACACAAATCACAGCCATGGATGAATAGTGATATTCGGGTGCTTAGACAGCAATGTCGCCAATGTGAACGCAGGTGGAAGAAAGACAGGCTTCAAGTGTCCTATGAAATTCTGAGGGACTCACTGCGCACATTTCAGAAGGCCGCTAAGGCAGCTAAGGCAAAACATTTGTCAGAAATCATTGCCAAAAATTCTCATTGCTCCAGAACACTATTCTCAACTATTGATTCTGTGTTAAATCCCCCACTGCAGACATTCCCAGAGCTTTCTCCTTT